ATTTAAGGCTTTCATTAAAATTATCTGTCTTTTATGTTCTCTGACCCATATTGGATAGAAACTGTTAGTGCTTAGGGTATGGGTGCTCTTGCATATTGATATTTCTATGGCTAGCAGGGACGTAGCAACAGGGGGGCCTCCCCCCCCCCCCCCCCCCCCCCCACTTTTTCCCCAACATTACCTTTACTATTGAAAATGTTCATTGAAAGGTTGGTTAGCCCCCCCCCCAAATCTTACCACTGGAAAGGGATATCAAGGAAATGTAGTATTGTACGCCAAAAAATTTGGAAATGAAAGAAAGTTGGCTTTGGAAAAAGTTGGCCACTGCCCCCCCCCCCCCTCCCCCACTTTCAAAAACGATGCTACATGCCTGGCTAGTTCAAGGTTCTGACAATGTATTCAGCAAAAAATGTTTATGATCGAATTTTTTTAAAATGCAGTGGGGTTAATTGGTATTATTTTGTAAGCTCACTAATCAATATTTCTCATTTAAATCAAAATATTAAAACTTATCCAGTAGAATCTTTGAAATAAATTGAAAAATGCATAAATAATAATCTTGTGTGTCTTTTTTTTTTAAAGTGATCTACAATTTTTGTAAATGAAAAAGGATTGAACTGGACTTTTTGGAAACAATAGAAAATGCAACTTAAAATCTAGTGAATACAACCAAAGGGTATGAAATTTGACTGATACTTAGTATTAGTGAAACCCAAAAGGTTTACTTCCGTATTCATAGCCAATCAGAATTTAGATTACCAAACATAGAAATTAGTCCAAAAGATTTGATGGAAGCAAAACATGCTATTCCCGGAGAAGGTTTGTAAATGTAAACAAATGATTTTGGGGATAAGGCAGTATAAAAATAAATATATCTATGAAAACATTTATAATGACATTATTACTTGAAACAATGCATAAATGTATAGGACAAAATTCATTCCTGCCAAGCCCCCCCCCCTCCTTCCCTTCTTAAGATTTAAATGAGAATATCATTTATTCAAAAGTAACACATGTATGGAATATAATATGGCAGGAATTTTAAATTAGTACACTTATCTGATACTGGTTCCATGAATGTTACAAATATGTTCAGAAATAAAAGTTGTTAAATTAGAAACTTTTGGGGGTATATTTCTGTTGTTCTGACATCCAAATTTTAAAACCTTGAAAATCAGACCTAGAGTATTCATAGTTTTTGTTTGACGAAGAGTTGAAAATGCAACTTCACGTTTTCATGTGTTCATAACATGTGTCTTTCAGTTTGTGGTAAAGAATGAACAAAATTGTTATTTATTGTTAAAGTTTCATTTTCTTCTCCTTTATGTAATATGTAACAGTTTACAAACTAATTATTCATATTTCAACTCCCTATTGTAACAATTCTGAAATGATTTACTTTAGACGCTGTTATGAACGATATACGAAGTTTACGGTGAATAAATTTCCTTCAAGTTCCCTGCTGAACATGCACATCTTTACATTCTGTGTTGTCATCCACATATTCTAATTCTAATGTAACATTTCAAGCTTTTTACTGGTCAATGACAATTTTATTGCAAAAAAATTCTTCATTTATTGTTCATAACCAAGACACTTTAAGGTCAGAGAGGTAGTGATGTTTCCTTTATGCTCATTTAAACTCTTAACCACCTTCTGTTGCATGTAACATATATTCCACAATAATTCTGGTAATATATTAAATGCATATTAGCTACTAATTGGAAATAGTATCACCATGCCTGCAGGGGAGATTCTAGAGCAGTAACGTGTATGACCAACAACCATGTATGAATGACTTTGAAGTTATCCTGAGATGTCAATGATACAAAAACACGATACAAATTATTTTCAGTTTTAATATAAATTCATTACATTTCAAAAGATATTATTCTTCCAAATTACAAATCTGAAAAGAAAGAAAAAACTAAGTTTATATACACTATTGATCAAACCAATTGAAATTTGGACCCGCTGCCGTCTGAGGCTCTCCACTCAGTGCGAATTGTGGTTCCTCAGGTTGACTTATAAATGCTTTGCCCTCTATGGTCTGGGGCTCTCCACTCAGTGCGATTTGTGGTTCCACAGGTTGACTTATAATGGCTTTGCCCTCTATGGTCTGGGGCTCTCCACTCAGTGCGACTTGTGGTTCCACAGGTTGACTTATAATGGCTGGGCCCTCTTTGGTCTTGGGCTCTTATAATGGCTGGGCCCTCTATGGTCTGGGGCTCTCCACTCAGTGCGACTTGTGGTTCCAAAGGTTGACTTATAATGGCTGGGCCCTCTATGGTCTGGGGCTCTCCACTCAGTGTGACTTGTGGTTCCTCTGGTTTACTTATACTGGTTGGGCCCTCTTTGGTCTGGGGCTCTTATAATGGCTGGGCCCTCTATGGTCTGGGGCTCTCCACTCAGTGCGACTTGTGGTTCCACAGGTTGACTTATAATGGCTGGGCCCTCTATGGTCTGGGGCTCTCCACTCAGTGCGACTTGTGGTTCCACAGGTTGACTTATAATGGCTGGGCCCTCTATGGTCTGGGGCTCTCCACTCAGTGCGACTTGTGGTTCATATTCTTTTTTGTGATTGCACAAACATCATGTAATTAGAATGTTCCCACAGCTACCTTTAATTTTTCTTTATATATATATTTTTTAATATTTACAATTTTTTTAACTTACAAATAAATAAATAATTTTTGGAGGCTATTCAATAAATGCAAACATGTGTGAAATGAGGAGCAAGTGACTATTTGATAAAAACAATAGCATGAGTTTCACGGTAACGTTTTATTTAAAAGCGAACACTTGCCCCGTTTGACGACCAGTAGGTGAATGAGAGGATTTTCGTTAACATGAATATCATAACTATCTTTCTTTCTTTCTTATTAAGCGTAGTTCCATCTTCAATATTGTGTTTTGAAGTAAGCTGTTCATGAAATTTTAAAGTCAGATGCAAAATTAGTTTAAATCACTATTTACTAACACGATGATATCTCGTCAAGAAAAGTGCATTGAGGCAGAAGGGGAAAGACAGAGTAATCTAAACAATGACGCCATTAATAAAAGGGCGACACGCAGAGTGAGGTCATCAAATAGAAAAATGTTTAAAGTATCAAGGTGATTCTTTTCAACACTAACTGTACTTTTTTGTTTTAAATTCTTTAAAATATTTAGTGTATGAATCTCATGGTATCAGTCCACGAATATATAAAAACCCTCCAATAAACAACATTTTTTATCTTAAAAAAAGTATTTTAAAAAAATCGATTTCAAACATACCAATTGATTAAAAGATTTGCTTTTAATTAGGAAAAAATAATGTTGTAATTATGGATGCTATGACATGTAGAACAATAAATTGCATTTTACGTTTGTGAGAGAAATCTAATTAACCTACACAATGATAATTCATGTTAGCTGGATTTAAAACATTGCTGTGATGTCATTTCTTTGTTCTGCAGTGAGTAGTGAGCATTCCCTGCCGACCGGACACACCCACCATGTGCTCCTTGTTCCGGGGAAAACGGAAAAAATCCGTTATCAATTCAGTGTGTATTTAACATGTATAATGGCCTTACAATTAGTATGAAAACGTCAGTCAGCATTTGACTTAATGATAAATTGTTAATTTTGCAAACAAGGTCATTGTATCGACCATAAAACTTACGGAATGATGACTTTAAACTAGACTGCTGATATCTTCATCAACTTTTTTGTTAATAACTTACTGCGTTTTAGCAATTAATACGTTCTAACATGCTCCCCTGTATCGAATCAACCATGAGATTATAAACTCTGTATGCAGGTGATGAAAGTATATTGCTGTATATGGAAATTGACGATTTAAAGTTTGGTGTTTCATCTCTAACAAATCCTGCTCTAGTTGACTTGTATCTAAAAGCATGGAAATTTTCCTCGACTTCTTTTGAGATATTTCACATTACTATGTTCAACTCCCATGAGCAGGGACGTAGCAACGGGGGGGGGGGGGGGGGGGGGGGGGGGGGGCTGGCCCCCCACCACTTTTTCCCCCAACATTACCTGTACTATAGTAAATGTTCATTGAAAGGATGGTTGGCCCCCCCACCTTATACCATAGTATAGTGAAATCAAGGATTGTAGGGGAAAAATTGGAAGTGATAGTAAGTTGGCTTCGAACTCACCCCCCCCCCCCCCCCCCCCACGAAATAGGATTTTTGAGTTTGGGCAACTTTTTTTTTTTTTTTTTTTTTTTGCTTGTCAACTTTTTCAGGTATAAGGAAAAAATTTTTTTTTCTCTGGTTGGCCCCCCACTTTCAAAAACGATGCTACGTGCCTGCATGAGTACTTTCAGTACTTTGATTTTTCTATTATATACTACTGTACTACAGTAAAAAAAATAATGGTATATCTATAGGTCCCTGATACTACCCCTCTCCCTTTAAAAAAAAAAAAAACACCTAGTATCTGGTATATTTATGCATTGCACTACCATGTAGATTGATTATTTATTTACCCTGGTATATTATCTCTAAACATGCAAATTCTTTGGTTAGCTTTTACCTTAACAAGGCCTCATTTACCCCTAGGTGTTCCTCAGAAGTTTACCCAGCATTCAAGAGTATCAAAAGTGATGTTTATTTTCTTCTACATCCATTTGGTCATATCTAAAAAAGATACTTAAACCTAGTCTTCAAGCATGCTTGAAACATTTATTATTGTGTAGTTTTTCTTTTTTAAAAGAGCAAACATTAAATTTTTTGTCGCCCGACAGATGTCGCTTTACCTGAAAAAATAATTTCTGAGCCATGAATGGCAAAGTCTGTCTAACTGTACAGTAAAATTGGAAAATTATATATTACTGTATTAAAATAATAATATTTGTAAGAGAGGTAGATTTGTAATAAATGAATGAAAATAGTGTTGAATTAATTGATTTGATGTTTTGAAATTTATAAATAACTTAAGAATGATAGAATAATCTATAACCGGAAAAACGTTCTTTGTTCGCAAAGGTTTTAGAAATTATTATCAAAATGGCACCGGTCTTGCTAGCGCCTCTTCAAAAATAATTTTGTTAATTTATAATTTAGTGAAGTAATCCTTTAAAATGGAGAGAACGTAAGCTTTTCATAGATTTATAGGTAAGTAGTGCTTGCAGATTAGCTGATATACGAATATTTATGTATGTTCCAGAATCTTTCTTGAAGAATTTCTAACTTCAGAAATAGAGGAAATCTTGGCTAATATTGGTCTTTATACCGAATATGTCCAGCATTAAAAAAAAAAGGTTATATTTTGTGTCTTTATGTGGATCATTTTAACTAAAATTGGGAGAACATTGAAAAACATAACTATATAGGTTATAAACATATGATAAACAGATAAAGACAATTTTGGAAAACGAGGGAAAAGAAAAAAAATCTGTACTTGAACTGTTGAATAATATCTAATATGAAACGTTTGAAATTTTAATCGACTTTGTAAAAGTTAATTGAATAATTATAAGTAATGCCATTTAATTTGAAATTCAGATGTGAATGTAATGTGAAGCGGTCACTCATCCAAGGGTTAAACAGGCTCGCCGTTGCTTAACTTGCCTGAAATAGAGGGAGACTCTATCGCATCACCAGAAAAGCTAGCTCACTAGCGAGGCAGTATAATTTCCCTATATACTGTACGCTACATAAACTTAACAAAAAAAATTCCAACCCGAAATTTTGAAAACTTACGTTGATCCTTTTCTACAGTATAAACATGTTTGGAGAATATTTTGTCTTGGTTATGGAATTTTTACATTTACATGCAATTAGGCTTAAGTTAGAACTATGTGTGACACATAGTTCTAACTTAAGCCTAATTGCATGTAAATGTAAAAGTCTGTGTCTGATATTACTCTTAAAAGAATGCTATTGCTTTATCAGTAATGGCCTTAACATGCTGGAAAAATAATTTTGCTTAGTTGTATGAAACTTGTTATATTTCTTGAAGATTGAAATCTATTTCAGACCTTAACTGCTCAGAATGTTGCAATCGCCATTGAGCCCCCATGATGTCACAGGTCAACTTACGACCTTTAGGTCGTACGTTGCTCTCATCGCAGATCCGACCCCAGGGAGTAAGTATCTGATTCTGTAGACTCTTAATAGGAAAAGGTTTGCTTAATGAAACATTTTATATGAACATCGATTTTGTGTACAATACTGTAAAATCACATATTTTAGAGGGATCAAATTTTCGTGGTTTGGGTGAAAACTCTTGCTAAAACTGTTTCTGCATAAATTTGTCAGTGTTTGTATTAGAAATTTACAACATCAGTGAAAAAAGTCTGCATTATAATTTTGATATCCCTCCCTTTTTTTTAGTTTTTAGGTCAACCTCTTAAAATTACGGCTGTGTTATCATTGGCAGTTTTAAAATTTTTTTTTTTTAAATAAAGTTTATCTTTTTTTTTAAAAATCTGGTTCGTGGGGATTTGAATCCGTGGATGAAGAATTGTTGAGTAGTTATGAATGTAAACATTTTACATCTCGTGGTGGACAAGAATTCGTGGGTCTCTTCATACCTTGAAAACAACAAGAATTAAACCCCTACGAAAATTTGTGATTTCACAGTACAATGTATATTAAAACTGGATATGAATAGAATCTAACTCTTGATAGAAAAATAGTCGAAGTAAATCATTTTACATTACAACATCAAATTTGTGTACAAGATTTTCTATTAAATATTTTGTTATCCTACAGTTAAGGTGAATATAGATTGTACCAGTACATTACTCTCCAAGGTGTAGTTTTTCATTTCCCCCCTCTTATTCACATTCTATATAAAAAATAGGAAGTTTCCAAAATACTTGTGATAATTAGGATTCAATAAATATATAATTTATGACAATCATGCTACATTTTAAGTATGGAGAAGATAATCAAATTCTAGGAATTGAAATTATAATAGTATTTTTTAAAATAATTAACAAAACTTTTGTGTTAATAATTTTGTGGAATGATTAACAAAATTTGTTGTTGTCGATCTGACTCCCTGTTTGTTTTGGGTTGAGGCGGACATGACAGTATAATGCTGATAAGATCTGACCACAAAGAGTAAAGATTTCATAATTTTCTTGAGAATTTTAATTTACAGAGGACTTTCTTCTGTTTAAAAAATTTTTCCACTCAAACTCAAAGTTTGACTACCTTAATAACATGTTTTATGGATATGGTTTTAGTTGTTGAGAAGAAATTGAAGGCAGCTCAAGAACTGAGTGAGAATTTTGAAGTAAGTGTATTTAATGTTTTCATTAAAAATCTTTTACCGCTCTTGTAATAACACAGGAGTTTGAAGTTATTATCATCCAAAAAAAAAATCCGGAAAAAAAAATTCCCATTTCCCATCCTCAATTAAAAAAAGTGTTTTTTTAGTTGATGGTGGGAAATTTTTTTTCTGGACTTTTATTTACGATAAAAACTTCAGACTCCTGTGGTATTACTAAGAATGCACATTGAGATTTACATATTCTATATTGACAAGTCAACATATTTTTTTAGTTATATGAAGCTGATTAAGTTTTCTATAAAATATTTCAATTTTTATTCATTCAGTGATTAATGAACATAGACACAGCACAAGACAATGATTTTTTTTATTTAGAGGATCCAACTTCTGCATGAATTCACAATTATCCTTTAATTTCAAAATTACATGTTGATAAAAGATAAAGTAGTTACTCTATATGTACTAATTTTTTATCTGTCCTCTCATTACAGAGTGTGGTTCTGTCCCCCCAATATTCACAGTTCCTGGGCGAGGCACTGAAGGTCTTCCTAAAGATCCTAGATGAAGGGGAACCACAGTTTATTGCTGAACAAAACATGCAGGTCAGGATACGGGCTGTTTATTAATATTTACGGGCTGTTTATAAAATATTTGTTCAATGATCACAGATACTGTAGACATTTTTTTTTCCAGGGGGTCATAATTCCAGGGAATCTCTATTTTTGTTCATATTGCTGGTAGAAAATTATGCGGATGTTTTAAGACTCTCCTGATATGCCTTATATTTGCATCAAGTTCGATGGAACAAAATTTCTGCAGAAAATTTGCAACCACGTACATTGCGTAAATTAATATCACGTGGAAAAAAGTTCTTCTACAGTACTGTTAATCAATAAAAATTAGTGCAGATTTAGTGTCTTTGTCATGTCATACTTATGGAGCAATATTTAAAAGTGGTGAAAATAAAGAAAATGTAATGGAAATTAAAAAAAATTAGAGATGATTTTTTTTTATCAAAATATTTAAAATAAATGAAATGTAAAGAATTACATTGTAATGAAATGTGAGAAAAAGAAGCGAATTTGTTCCAGTTCTCAAAAACTACAGAAATCACTTAATGTCATACTCAAAGAAAACTTTTTGTATGGAATGCACATTGTATAGGAGAGCCATTGTATATATGTTTTGATTTTTTTAGCAACTGAGAAAGCTACTACTGGAGATTATTCATCGGATTCCGAGCAATGAGCACCTGAAGAAATATGTTCAGCAGATCCTCTCACTTATGTTCAAACTCTTAAAGGTATACTTATAAATCACTTAATGTTTAATTCAGTCCTGTTCTCAGTTGAAATTGTTAAGGTATCCTTGAATATCAATTAGTTTTTATATTCCTCATCTTCAAAATCTTAAAGATATCCTTCAAAATCTCTTAAATTTTACATCAATCCCATTCCACATGGTCAAACTCTTAAGATTATCCTTAAAAATTACTTTGCTTTTACTTGTATCTTATTTCTCTTGTTTTAAAGAAATTCTAGAAAATTGTTGAGGTTTTAAATTGATCCTATTAGTATTCCCCATATTCAATCTTCTGAAGTATCCTTAAAAATCGGTTAAGTTTTAAATTGATGCTGGCCTCTGTATTTGAACTTGTTCATGAAAGTTATTATATTTTTTCCTTTGGTCCATTGTTAAAAAGGTGTCATACTTGTAGAATTAACAGCTTACAATGTAGGAATTAGATTGTGATGTCAGACAAGAACAATTGGAATGACATTAATGTGTACAACCTATCTATTACAGATTGAGAACGAGGAGAATGTCTTGGTGTGTTTACGTATCATTATAGAGCTACACAAACAATACAGGCCACAGATGAATGAGGAGGTAAAAACATCAACATTACGGCATTAGGAAAAAAATCAACAAAATAAGCATAATTTTGACATTTTTTTTTCAAAATATGTTGTGTAGAATTCTTCACATCAAGCAATTTGTTTTTAAAAAGGTCAGCAAAGACGTGTACAGTGCAGCTCTAAATTGTTTACAGACATATATTTTTAAAAGATGATGAAATTTGTGTTCTTCAGATGAATGCTTTGAAAGTTTATCACCTTTCTGTCATTCTAATCGAAAACATACATGTATTTTGTACTGCTATTAAAAAATATTAGAAAATATTAGAACTATACTGTTGAATATGATGAAAATCACTGTGCATGTTTTCTCTTTCCCGGAAAATGTGTGAAAATTACTGAAAAATTAAACTTGGGAGAATTTGAATTTTTTCCTTGCAGATAAAAGACTTCCTTCAGTTTGTGAAAACCATCTACAACACCATACCCAGTCATCTGGCCAAGATCTTTGAGCCTCGCAGTCAGATTAAGGTCAAGGACGTTACAGAGGTCAATGTCGACACCATACTGCAGGAGACCTTCACCACGACAACCATACTGACAGACAAGAAAAATGCCGACAACCAGAACATATCAGTATGTCATCATTATAATCATGTCAAAAGTTGGAGTATTCTTCTGTAAAGGATTGCAATCTCTTGATTGCCAGTGAACTTCAAATGTGTCTTTTAAATTTGTTCAACTGTTTTTAAAAAAGCACCTGCTTGAGAATTTTTACTCAGAAACATCAAATTCATGTAGAATTTTCGCTTGATTAATGAATTTACTAGAGGTTGGACTTCAACAAATCTTAGAGAGTTATGATAATTCTGATCAGCTCATTACCTTATTTCAAACTTGAAATTTTTTTCTCCCCCAAAAGGTAATACATGTACCTGTTGAAAAAAATTGAAACTTTATTTTTGGATTACTTGTGTGGTATTAACTTCCGTTATAGCTGGAAATAAATTTACATTTGTTGATTTCAGTATAACATTATCCCCCGTGGAGTCCTGTCCCTGAAGGTGCTGGCCGAGCTGCCCATTATAGTGGTCCTCATGTACCAGCTGTATAAACCCAACGTACACCAGGAAGTGGCAGAGTTCATTCCCCTGATCATGAATACCATAACACTACAACCCTCAGCCATTCACAAGTAAGAATTATCTCTCCTCTGTCTCTCTTTCTCTCTCTTTCTGTCTCTGTGACTCTCTCTGTCTCTTTCTCCCCCTCTTGAATTCATATTCTCTTTCATAGTTTGTCAGTCCCAATCTCTGGTTTATACATTGTATCATGTTATTTCAAAAAATATGAATATCAAAAGGCTAAGCATTGCAGGTTGAGAGCAATTTGTTAGAAATATGTCATTTACATTAAATATATGGTTGCTTGTAACATAATATTATATATTATGTACTGATTTTCCTGTGTAAAAAAGCTTTATCTGTAAGTTTTGCATTGAAATGAACTTGAATACAATTGTTTACTTTTTTATAGGACCAGTCCATCGTTCAACAAGGAAGTGTTTGTGGATTTCATTGCAGCTCAGATAAAAACTCTCTCCTTCCTAGCTTACATCATCAGGATTTATCAGGTTTATATTTTGCACAGTTGTGATTTACTTCTCTCATGGTATCAAAAAACAGTTGACTGGATGTTTTGAAAAAAATAATTCAGTTTTAAAACATGCTGTAGACCAAAGGCAACTTTTTAAATTAAAGAGGTTAAAAGCAAAAATTTAAGTGTTAAAGCTTTGTGTGATCTTAAATAAAACTTCAATTAAAAAAAAAGTGTACCGTCTATTTGCATCAAAGATGTCTAAAATTTGTTCAAAGTTTTGAAGAATTACATAAATCACGTAAATATATTCATTCTTTTGGATTACACACACGGTATTGTATTTCCAACATAGGAACAAGTCCAGCAGCATGCTAATCACATGGTGAACGGCCTTCTGGGATTGCTGGAGTTCTGCCCACAGGAAGTGGCCCATCTCAGGAAGGAGTTACTGATAGCTGCCCGGCACATTCTGGCCACAGACCTCAGAAACAGTAAGGGGGCACCTTACCAATTTTACTGAATTTTACAGGCTTTAGAGTACTACTTGTATAAATGAAAATTTGGATACCTGTATAACATGCAATGTTCTTGAGAAATCAAAATTCTGTATAATATGTACAAATGAGTCATGAAATACACAGAGAATCATTTTTTCTAAGCAACTGAAAAAAAATTCTTTTGGCAGAACTAATTGTAACTCAGATGCATTTGATATTTTCTCTCTACAGAGTTTGTACAGGTCATTGACAAATTGTTTGATGAGAAAATTTTGATTGGATCAGGATGGACAACTCATGAATCTTTACGGTGAGTTTGGACTTTCATACTTGATATTTACTAGTATGTTTTTAGGCTTTTGAAGCTGCTTGTATAATTGCATACATGTAAATTATACATGTCATGAACTTATAAAACTTTCTGTTTATTTAGTAGGGAATCATAAACTTGTGCATCAATCATGTATTTTTTACAATATTGAGCCTTTTTTGTGTTTTTTCTTACGGAAATGTTATTGTGGAGTTTACATAAAATTTCATCCTCATCACTGAACATTAGAATCTGTATATATAATTCCCTGCCTCTTCCACTGACAGCCCCCTGGCCTACAGTACCCTGGCTGACCTGGTCCATCACGTGCGTCAGTCCCTGCCCCTGAAGGAGCTCTCGATGGCGGTCAACCTTTTCTCTAAGAACGTCCACGACGAGTCCCTCCCCAGCAGTATACAGACCATGTCCTGTAAACTCCTACTGAACCTGGTCGAGTGTATCAGGGCCAAGAGTGAGGCCGAAAATGGAAATGTGAGTCCATGGACTGATTTACAGATACAACATATTCATATAACATAAATTTATGTTATCAGAGCTAAGGGTAAAGACAGACAAGAAACTTTGTGATTATGTGACAGAGTTATCTGTCTGATTTTTAGCTCTTCTGAGCCAAAGGCTCAAAGAGCTAATGCTATGGCCATTTGTGCGGTGTGCGGTGTGCGTTAACTTTTTAGAATATGGGCCATAACTCAAGAACCCCTTGGCCAATCAGTGTCAAATTTGTCACAGGGTATCCTTGGCCCAAGGGCTACCATTTATACTAAAATAAGGGTTGGGACCCTAAAACAAGGGGAGATAATCAGGAAAACAAAACCAAAAGTACTGGTTGCTAAAAAATCTTCTTCTCCAGAACCACCAGGCAGATTTTCACCAAACTTACACACAAGGATCAGAATATGTTGAAGATTAAAAATTGTTCGAGGCATGACCCTGGGGCAAAGGGCGTGGTCTCAAGGTCACTTTAAAGTTTACCTAAATGTACCATTAATAAAAATGTTTATATTTTGCTTACTATAAGGACTATGATCATCAAATCTTGTAAGTTGATGCATCTTAGGACTTCACATCATCTTAACTCAAAAGTAGGTCACGCTGACCTACTTTTTTAATTTTGCGGGCATTTGTTTTCAAATTGATTTTAAGGCAAATTTTGGACACTTTTAGGCCTATGATCATCAAACTTAGTCAGTTGATGCATCTTGGGTCCTTGAACAACGTCAACTTAAAAGTAGGTCACCGTGACCTACTTTTTGAACTTTATGACTTATCCTTTATAAAACATTTAATCCCATTATTTCAGGCACTGAAAGGGTTAGAATCATCAAATCTTGTAAGTTGCTGCATCTTGGGACCTTAAAACATATTTAAGAAAAAGTAGGTCACTGTGACCTACTTTTTGAATTTGGCAGGCAATTGTTTTCAAATTGTTTAAAAGGCATATTTTGATTACCTTCAGACCTACGATCATCAAACTTGGTCAGGAGATGCATCTTGGGACTCTGAAAAATGTCGACCAAAATGTAGGTCACGGTGACCTACTTTTGACATTTTATGGCTAGATTTAAGTATCTCTAGTACTTATTGGCTTAGAATCATCAAACTTTGTGAGTTTATGCATTTTGGGTTTTCGGAGAGTGACGACCAAAAATTAGGTCACAGTGACCTACTTTCGACATTTTTTGGCTATATTTCAGTAATTTTAGGTATTTATTGGCTTGGAATTATCAAACTTTGTGAGTTGATGGATTTTTGGTTTTTGGAGAGTGTCCACCAAAAATTCGGTCACGGTGACCTACTTTTTACATTTTATGGCTATATTTAAGAATCTCCGGTACCTATTGGTTTAGAATCATCATACTTTGTCAGTTGACTTGGGTTTTCCGAGAATGTCGACCAAAAAGTAGGTCATGGTTACCTACTTTTGAATATCTCAGGTATTTATTGGCATAGAATTATCAAACTTGGTCAGCAGATGCATCTTGGGACTCTAAAAAATGTCAACCAAAATGTAGGTCACGATGACCTACTTTCGACATTTCCTGGCTATATTTAAGTATCTCTAGTACTTATTGGCTTAGAATCATCAAACTTTGTCAGTTGATGCATCTTCGGTTTTCCAAGAATGTCGACCAAAAAGTAGGTCACAGTGACCTACTTTTGACATTTTATGGCTATATTAAAGTATCTCCGGTACTTATTGGTTTAGAATCATCATACTTTGACTGTTGATGCATCTTGCGTTTTCCGAGAATGTCGACCAAAAAGTAGGTCACAGTGACCTACTTTTGAATATCTCAGGTATTTATTGGCTTAGAATTATCAAACTTAGTCAGCAGATGCATCTTGGGACTCTGAAAAATGTTGACTAAAATGTGGGTCACAATGACCTACTTTCGACATTTCCTGGCTATATTTAAGTATCTTAGGTATTTATTGGCTTAGAATAATCAAACTTTGTCAGTTGAAGCATTTTGGGTTTTTCAAGAATATAGACCAAAAAGTAGTCCTAATTTGCTTAGAATCATCAAATTTTATCAGGTGATGCAACTTGGGTTTCAGGATACTTAGGATTAGAGGCTTCAAATACAAGTGATAGGTTGTACAATTTATCAGAAGAGTGATTCAAGGCCCTTGGGCCTCTTGTTAAATGTAACATGTTTATACAATGTAAATTTATGCTATTAGAGCTAAGAAAAGAAATTATAAAAGAATTTTGCAATTTTTTGATGTTCAATTCATAGAGTTTATATTGAAAGTATAAATATATGTTGATTTAAGGTGGAGGGAAAAAATCAAAGAAGCCTGAGAACTTTTAAAGCGAACTAATAACTCTTTGCTTTTCAATACAAATTCATTATTGTTGAAGAACAGTTAATTGTGGTTTGGGTGAGAGGGATTGCAGATGTTTGTATGTTCATCATTTCAGGGGAGAGAACTGCTGATGAGAATGCTGGAAGTGTTTGTCCTGAAGTTCAAAACCATTGCTAAGATTCAGCTGCCACAAATTCTACAGAAATGGTAAAAACAAATTTTATTCTGTTCAAAGAAAATGGTTGATAATAAATACTTGTATCTCTATTTATTTGTAAAAATGACCCAGGAATGAATGTGATGATATCCTATACTTTTATACATCCCCTGCAGCAAACAACAGCCACAAAGTCCAACTCAGCAGACTCCGACCTTGACCGATGCCAAACAGAATGTGGAGGTCAAGGTCGAGGCTCCTAAGACTCCAGTGGAGGAGAGTAAACCCCCCATGACCGCCTCACTCCTGGCTGACACGGCAACCAAGGACACAGACAAAGCTTGGACTGAAAAGGTCAGTAGGGGTCAAGGTCTCATCAATTGACCTAATTAATACCAATTTTCAGTGAAATGAAATTGTAAGTGTAACAATTTAGTGTAACAGGTAAGTGATGTTTTTTTTTATGTTAGTCACATTTGAAAATTTTGTAAAATCATGATGGTATTGTCATTCTTGTCTTTTAAAAAAATAGAAACTTTTTTTTATATGCAGAAATGAAAGATGTTTAAAAATTTTTACTTGACATTTTTATCATCACAGTCGCTGCAGAACCGTTTTGGTGTAACTCCTAGTCAGTACAGCGTTTATTCGGTCAGTGATTGTAGAAGTTTGGTCAAGACTCTGGTGTGTGGAGTCAAAACCATCACCTGGGGCATCGTCTCCTGTAAAGCCGTGGGCGCAGGTTAGTGTTGTTTACAAATAATTAAGATGAGATTTATAACAGAATATTTTCATTGAATTAATTTTATTGACATAATGTTGAATAACTAAAAATACAGCCAATACTTGTTATCGCGAAGTCAATGGGACAAAGAAAGTTTTTTTTTTGTTGATATTATTGGATTCAATATATTAAAAGTGAAATATTTAAAAGGAATCAGGGGGTTGAAATTTCAGAAACATTTCGACAGACATGTACCTATGGTATTTGAAATAATTAGTGCTCGAGATGCCGAAAATGAACTGTATTTGTTGATGCTTTTAATAAGGAACAAAAGAAGTGTTCGGTGCATATGTATGTGAATGTAATACACCTAATTTAAAAAATGCTTATCAATATTTATTAGCTAGTTTATTTCTCAAAATTGTTTTAAAATTCTGTATTACAGAAGCTGCCACAGTCCAGAACAAGCAGTTCTTACCTAAGGAGGCCCTGGTCTACATCCGACTGGTCAAGTTTGCTCTGCAGGCACTGGACATCTACACAATCAACATCGGGGCTAATGGTCAAGCGGTCATCAGGCCAGCTGTGTAAGTGACCAAACAAGCATTACAAGTGCAAATATACGTGAAATGTGTAATTATGTAACAAATTGTCATTGTATTCAGTCTTGTTTATAATTTTTGGATTTTTGTCCAAGGTTGATCTTTAAACTTAGAAAATTTTGTGTGTGAAAACTAAAATTACACAGATGTATATTTATCAAACTCGTAAATCACTAATTACATGAAGAAATAATGCATAAAAGTGTTTTAGAAAGTAACTGCTAGCTTTTCTATGACCTGGTCATTCTCTGTAAAGAGGTTTTTTGGTTGACAGGGTTCAAACAGTAAGAACTAAAGAAGAAAAGGAAGTCCTAGAACATTTTGCTGGAGTGGTGAGTAAACTATCATAGATTGTGGCTATTGTCATCAATACAACTAAGGCATTAATTCAGTGTACAGTAAAATACACATACAGTTAAACTTTGTTATCTTGAACCTGATGGGACTGAGAAAAAACTTCAATATATCTGAGGATTTGAGATATCAAATGTTAAATACTTATAAAGAATATATGGTTGGGACTTCGAAATCACTTCGACATATCCATGGTATTGGAGATACTGAAGTTCAACTGTATATAACAGAGTGCTAGGAACTGACTATTTTGCTTCGTTATAAGCTTATTTGTTATATCTGATAAGTTTACAATATGAATAAAGGGGAATGAAAACCTCTTATAAGCATGTTTTTTTTGACTGTATGTACAGGGTGTGAAAATGATGTCTCTATTTCTTTGTAGTTCACGATGATGCATCCATTGACATTCAAAGAGATCTTCTCCTCAACTGTCGAGGTACTCTATGCATTTGCTCTTCTTAGTTTCAAAATCAAAAAGTTCATGTATATTAAAATTTATTAGCAACATTTTCTGAAATTTTTTAACTGGTAACCTTAAAAAATATTTTATTTTTTCAGTACATGGTGAATCGGATTCATAACAATTATGCACTACAGGTAGGGGACACAACTCTTTCTTTCTCAATTTACAGATACTATAGTTGTCTGCTCTTTGATTGATTGATTGAAAAACCAAACTCTTTAGTTGTAAAACTACTTTGATAGATGTACATATATATATACAAGCAAAAAATTTAAGTCACTTCAACAGATGTTTGATAATGTCTTGTACATGTGTTGATGGTATTAAATGCAGTTAATAACACACTTAATTTCAGCTTGACTAATTCTAATGTTATCATTTTACATTACTTGCTATCACTGTTTTCTTTCAGATTGTTGCAAACTCCTTCCTGGCTAATCCCACCACCTCTGCCACATTTGCCACCATTCTTGTTGACTATCTGCTGGCCAGGCTAGAGGAAATGGGATGTAAGTGAATACAATACTGACTGAATCAGTAAAAATGACTAAAATCAGAAAATACTGACTGGATAAGTAAAGACTAACTGGAATCAGTAAATTATGACTGGAATCAGTAAATAGAGCTATCTTAGTTATTTTATTAGAATTTTTCAGTCTTGTGCATATACAGTCATGTAGATACGAGTCCTGGAGTACATTTTGTACAAGAATGAAGAGTTTACATGATTCTGTTCATACTGAAGTCAAGAAGATGAGAATTTAAGGGAATAATGAGCATCAAATAACTCCATCAAAACCTTTTTGATTTAGCTCATAATTCTTTTAATCAAAAATTTGTTAGAAAATGTTGATGATATCTGACTTGTTGTTAACAGCCAATCTGGATCGGTCCAATCTCTACCTGAAGTTGTTCAAGCTGGTGTTTGGCTCTGTGTCTCTGTTTGCAAACGAGAATGAACAAATGTTAAAGGTAAGTTAATTTGACAGAATTTAGAAATTACATGTTTAAAGTCAAATACATGTATGACTTCTGCAAGATAAATAGCTCAGTATAATTCATATGTGACTGTTTGCTTAAATTCTGCAGAAAAATGACTTGCGTGTTATATCTTTTTTGTGAAGAGTCACATATATATTCATTTCACTCCTGCCCCCCACCCCTAACCCCCAAAATTTACATGGATTCTATACTTTTATTACTTTACTTTTCATATGATGAGCTGTTATTTGTCTTTCTACAGCCACATCTGCACACGATAGTGAACCGCTCCATGGAGCTGGCAATGAGTGCCAAGGAGCCCTATAACTACTTCCTGTTACTGAGGGCCCTGTTCCGATCTATCGGAGGAGGAAGTCACGACCTGCTGTACCAGGAGTTCCTTCCCTTACTCCCAAATCTACTACAGGGTAAGGAATGTTTTAAACTCAGAAAGAAAACTTAAGCTTTTTCTAAACCAAGTATTTCTCTGTATGCATCCTTTTAGGAAATATTTGATAAGTTAACTTTCAAGAATACTAATTTTCTTAAATGTATGTAAGAGCAGATTTGTTAGATAGGTTCGTGTACAATGTAAATCAAATTTGATTCATATTTCCACTGCATATGAGATTCACTTAAACCTGAAGGCACTTTGTTGTTACATTTATTAACAGGGACCATAGCAAAAATGTAATTTAAAAAAGAATAAGAGTTATTTCTTATAGCATATTTGTAGACCACATACTAATTCAGTTTCTCTGTTCCTCAGGTTTGAACAGCTTACAGAGTGGACTACACAGGCAGCACATGAAGGACCTGTTCGTTGAGCTGTGTCTGACTGTTCCGGTCCGTTTGAGCTCCCTCTTACCCTACCTCCCCATGCTGATGGACCCCCTGGTGTCGGCGCTGAATGGGTCACAGACGCTGGTCAGTCAGGGACTGAGGACCCTGGAGCTGTGTGTGGACAATCTACAGCCCGACTTTCTATATGACCACATACAGCCCGTCAGGGCGGAACTCATGCAGGTAAAGACAGAGGGGTATACTAACAGATATAGCCATGGGAGCAGTTGGTGTTTTATTCCTAGGATGTAAGAGATTTAGTGGAAAGTGCAACCTTTTTGTTCTTTTAGGTGTTTTCCTCACTTTAGGACTTCAACCTTGGTGTTAAATTGTAATATTAAGCAAAATGACAAAAAAGTAAAGTTTTAAGACTTTAAAAATTGTTAAAATTGTGTAATTATAGATCTATTACATGTGCAAAAGAAATTAACCTCGGAGTCCTCGTAAGGGGATTGTAATTTCTTCAGAATTTAAAATCTGTTCTTCAGACATAATTATTTATTAAATGAGAAGATGTATTAATTTATTTCTTATATTACATTTACAGGCTTTATGGAAGACCCTGAGAAGTCCAGTGGACAACATTGCTCATGTCGCATTTCGAGTTCTCGGAAAATTTGGTGGTGGAAATCGCAAAATGCTGAGAGAGCCACAGAAGGTTGGGATTTATACAAGAGACAGTCTTGTAAAACTTTTATAACAGATTATGAATAGAAATTAGAAGAATAGAAAGTTTTTTGCTACATGTAAACCACTTGTCTGAAAACTTTATACACTTAGACCTTTAGCCATGAAAACTCTAACAAAGGGAAGATAAGTAATTAAAATTAAAATTTTTCCCCACAGCTCCACTACAATGACCGTGAGACAGTTGGACCATGTATCACCATCTACTTCCAGGATTGTAAAACTCCCATCACTAAACCAGTAGAAAAGGTACAATAATTGTGAATTGTGACTTATACAATGGATACATGTAGAAGAGATACAAAGCTAAGTATGGAAACATGGTCTTTGAATGATATGGTGTTAAGTTTCCTTTATTGGTGCACTTTCTAAATTGATCTTGACTGGTTATGATTTCATGAAAAATTCATTTCATGAATTTATCTACATATAATGTACATGTATTTTCATCTTTAAGTTAGTAATGATTATTAATTATGCTAAAGGCTGACTAAGTTCACAAATTACATATCTCATAAAAATTTTTCAGTGATATTACTTTAAAATGTACACAATTATCATAAATTTTATCAATATTAATCACCTATTTACTTTCGCCTGTTAACTGTTCTTTCAATTGACACACTTTCTCCTACTTTTACCCCAGGCTGTGGACTTTGCCCTGACCACACTGAAGTGCAGCACCACAGATAACTTTGCCCGGAGACAGGCCTGGGAACTCATCAAGTGTTTCCTGGTCTCTGTGATGAACCTGGAGGACGAAAAACTCACCCTCACCAATCTGTTTACACACACCAGGTAATCACACAAACACTGGTAATTTGTGTACAAATGATCACATACACTAGGTATTTTATAAGCAAAAATGGAAAATAAGATATTTATATCTTATCAAATTTAGAAATAAGATAAATACAAATTAAAAAGTTTTTTGTCTCCTTTCATTTTGTACAAACTGTTTTTAGACTGAAAGAAAAGAAATGTAAATGGAAACGGTTATTGTGGTGTGCATATTAATTATATTACAAGATTTCAGTTAGGAACAATTCATTTATGTACATGTTTTTAATGGAATCGAAAATTGTAGCTTCACAGAGAAGGAGATTCCCATACAGACCAGCCAGCTGTACAAAAATCCCGACGCTCACTCCAGAAAGGTTCATGAGCAGGCCCTGACTGGAATGTTTGGTAAGTTGTGTGCCATCTAGACACATACAGACAAAAGATCTTTGGTCAGAGTCGATGAGTACAAGCTGCTTGACTCAGCTTGACTGACTATTTCATCAGATGACTTTTTGCTGTAAGATTAATTACTTGAATCAAGGACCCAAAGGCAAAATGAATACATTTATGTTTTGTCTAAAATGCTTTTATTAGTTTTCATAAGATGTCCATGTGATTTGATCAGTGAGTGATAGTGATTTTTCTTTTACAGTTGCAGCAGCCATCAAGGAGTTAAGACAGATTGCTCTCCCCTTCATGGCGTGTATGGTCAAACACTACACCATGATAGCCATATCTCAACAGTGTGGTGAGTCAATAATTTAAAGAGTGTAACTGTTCTGTGTATAGAAATAATTTGCTTTAATCATGTTAATTGTGGATTACTGAAGCAGACTAATTAGGGAAAATGGCTAACTTGTAAAACTTTTGTGCTTTTTATTATAGAAAAAAAGGAATTTTCTGCCTATTCATTACGACATAATATGAAAGACATAATTTTCAAATATTTTAAAAATAACTTTAGAATTAAGATTTGTTAACTGTGACATATTGACACATAAATGATTTTTTCTGTCAATACAGGTCCATTCCCAGTTGGAGACAAACAGAACAAGCTGCAGGGTATGGACACACAGATCTTGATCGATGCCCTCGCTGTTATCATGGGACATGAAGAGAAGGAGCTGTGTAAACCAGGGAACCTGGCTCTGGTTCTGATCCTGGATACAGCTACCACTCTACTGGGATCTAAAGAGAGGGTAAGTGTAAAACTAGGAACCCAGATCTGGTTCTAATCCTGGAAATACGAATAACTCTACTGGGATCTAAAGAGAAGGTAAGGGTAAAACTGGGAATCCTCCCTGATTCTAAACACAGGAAGGAGGGAGTAAATATAAAATGGGCACTCTAGCCCAGGTTTAAATTAAGGACACAGCAACTGGGTTCGAAGAAGTGTCAATTGAAATAAAAATTTATATTAGTCCTGATTCTAGACAGAACAAATATGGTAAGAATGCAAGAAGATATTAAAACTTTATATAATATTCAAAAACTTTTTGAGTGGCTCTTTATATTTACTTAACCTGGAATGCAGTGTAGATTTATGATTTTGATTCCTCTCTATTTCCCCAGGCCTGTCAGCTGCCCCTGTTTGAGTACCTGGTAGAGAGGATGTGTTCTCTGTGTTATGACAGAGCCTGGTACGCCAAGTTTGGAGGGTAAGTATTTATTTGGAAGAAATTAGACCTTGATAGAAAAAAAAAGATAAAAAGTACATTAGGTGAAGATCATATACTAGTAAGTCAGTACATTTGGTCATGATATTGATAGCAATAATGATGTCTAATGAAAACTTAATATTAATTAAAATTTAAGTGCAAATTACAAGTAAATATGCAAAAATGATATACAGTGGTTATAAAGGATTTATAAATCATACTGAATACGTTTGTCATGTGTTTGCTTTATAGACCATGGTATTTACTTGTAGATGTTCAGTAGGTAGGTACACAAGACAGTCTAGCTGTCAGTTTTATACTCTATTTCTGGTATGATTTCAGGTGCCTTGCTGTCCGCTTTATGTACGAGAGGATGGCCCTGAAGTGGGTATTGGAGCACCAGTTTATCTTCCTCAAGGCCCTTCTGTTTGTCATGATGGACCTTACCAAAGAGGTGGGTGGGCAAGCCTTTATGCTTTTCCTTTTCAAATGTTCATGATTTTAGGCCAAGACATAATATCTTTTTATTTGTGTTTTCAAAATTGAAATTTTCCATGCGTGCATGAGAGCTTAATAATGGAATTCTAGAATTTGTGGATTAACTTAATTTTTTTTCATTTCTTTATATTTTTTCAAGAATTTAAAAGCACAATTTTGTGTAGAGCCATTTTAATATGAAGAATAGAAGCACATGATGTGCAAAAATTTAATGTCTTTGAAACTTTCATTTCCTTGTCTATTTTCACTTTCACTATCAGGTGTCCAGTGGGGCTGTGGACTTGGCTAAAAATAACCTGGAGAACATGCTGATTAAGTGTGCCTCGGAAATCGAGGGGGAGAAAGCGTCAGAGGAAATCCTGGCCGCCCAGAAGAAGTCGTTACATGAGGTGGTGCACGAACTGGTCAGACAGATCACCTCCCCCAACACCATTGTCAGGGAACAGGTGGGGCATCAGCAACGTTTTGTAACTTCTTGAGTCTGAGGGAATGAATACAAACTAAATTTTATGTTAATTAGCATTATGATGGCTTTGGCATTCACAGATTGTATGAATGCAATAAAGTAGCTATGAAGGTACGTGTTCATAGTACTGTAAGTTAAAAAAAAGAGTCTATTTATTTTTAGTGAGAAATATTACAAAGAATTTCACATTTTGAATTATTATTTATATATTAGAATGTTCTTACATGATATCTGATTTAACGAGGCCCGATCTACTTGATCTGCGCATACGTTTTAACGCAGCGTCGACTCAGGCACGTCACAATACCCTTGACTGCCGTCACAATTGAACACAATAACGTCACAGTTAAAATGACGTCAAATTGCGCTAAAATGTTTCGCTGATCTTGCTTACCTGGTAGCTCTATAGAATATGCATTGAAAGCTGGCATTTCTATTATGTTTTTTTTTAAATATTCAAATTAATAAACAACTTTGGAACCTAATTAATTTTGAGGGATTAATTTTTTGGTACAGATTCATCAATTTTTTTTCTGTTTTATTTCAATTTGTGAGTTTAAAAAACAAACATTGCAACTAAAAGTAAACGATTTTAGTCTGTCTCTTTGAACATGTTGAAGTGTTTATACACACTCTTTTTATTGCGGACTTAAATATTTTCTTGACAATCTTGTCATAATTCCAGAAGACCTAGTGATAACAGGAGACTTAAATTTTCACATTGACAATCCCAATGATAGTGAAGGAAATAAGTTTATACTTACACTTGAGGAGCATGGGTTGTCGCAGCACGTAGTTGGTGCAACCCACACCAAGGGCCATACACTGGATGTCCTCATAACAAGGAACGCAAGCTCTCTTTTAAGAAGTTTACCTACCATACAAGACCCTGTGTTGTGCGACAACAACGGCAACGCTGCAGGTGATCATCTTGCCATCCAAGCTTATCTGCAGGTTGCAAAGACTCCCAAAGAAAGAAAGACAGTAACTTTTCGTAGGATGAAAAAACTTGAAATCGAAAAGTTCAGGACTGACCTTGACTCTTCGCCAGTCCTTAGTGATAAAACCGACTCATTGGAGAATCTCATCACTGGCTATGACCATGAGCTAAGGGCCGTCCTAAACAAACATGTCCCAGAAGAGACAAGAACAATCACCCTTCGTCCTAATACACCATGGTACACGGAGGATCTAATGACGGCAAAAAGAGAAAAACGTCGGGCTGAAAGACAGATGAGGAAATCAAACCTGACTGTTCATAGAGAAATTTTCAGAGACACATCCATTCAAGTAACCAGGCTAATACTAGAAACAAAGAAAAAATACTATTCAGATAAAATCGACGAGGTAGGAAACGACCAGAAAAAATTATATAAACTTACAAACTCACTGATAGGTAAGCAAACCAAACCTATTTTCCCTTCTAATGGTTGTGAACAGGACCTTTCAAATACTTTTGGCACTTTTTTCCTAAATAAAATCAATACTATTAGAGACCATCTTTCAAACTTAAATGAACAGACCTCAATGGATGTTCTAAGAGCGGACATAAGATTTGAGGGCAAATCACTTGAGTGCTTCACATCAGCATCAGAGGCAGAGGTTCGAAAGATCATTATGGCTTCTCCATCTAAATCATGTGAGTTAGACCCAATACCAACTTCCGTCTTGAAATCCTGTGTTGACAGTCTTCTTCCAACAATCACAACCATTATAAATAAATCATTATCAGAATCAACTGTTCCAACTTCACTGAAAAATGCTGTTGTTCGACCTCTCTTGAAAAAACAGGGATTGGACAAAGAGGTGTTAAAGAACTACCGCCCTGTCTCGAACCTTCCATTTATTTCTAAAATCCTGGAAAAGGTTGTAAATTCTAGGCTGGAAGATCATTTACAGTCAAACCACCTGCATGATAGACAGCAGTCAGCATACCGTGTGTATCACTCAACGGAGACCGCTCTCTTGAGAGTCCACCATGATATAACATCAGCGCTAGACAAGGGTTCAAGTGTTGTTCTGTTAATGCTGGACTTATCTGCAGCCTTCGATGTGATTGATCATAATATTCTTATCAATCGCCTAGAATTTTCGTTTGGCATAACTGGTGCGGCCTTGTCATGGATACGATCATACCTAAGCAATCGGCACCAACGTATTGCTATAGGTTCATCCGAGTCTAGAGACTTTCATCTACATTTTGGCGTTCTCCAGGGATCGGTCCTTGGACCTAAGCTTTACAGCCTGTTTGCTAAGCCAATTTGTGATATATGCCGAAAACACAACTGTTTACATGAGTTTCCAGTGTTATGCAGATGATACTCAGCTGTATATGGCAATAGCACCTACTACCAACTGGATAGACTTGGCATCTCGTTTGCAAACTTGCCTTTCCGATATAAGTTCTTGGATGCGCTCTAACTTGTTAAAGATAAATCAAGAAAAAAATGGAGCTTATTATCTTTGCACCAAAACAGAGAATTCATCATTTTAATGAAGATAGCATCAATTTTGACGGAAATAAAGTTAAAGTCTCATCATGTGTGAAAAATTTAAGTGTTTTCTTTGATTCTGTGCTGAACATGGATAACCAAATCCGAAACATTACCAAGTCATGTTACCATCAACTGCGAAATATTGGACGCATTCGACCTTTAATATCAGAGAGCGCGTGTAAAACCCTGGTATGCTCACTTGTTACTTCCCGTCTAGATTATGGCAATGCCTTACTATACGGTATATGCACCAGTTCCTTAACAAAACTTCAACGGATTCAAAATACGGCCGCCAGAATAATTACTCGTACAAAGAAACATGATCATATAACACCTGTGTTAGTCAACTTACATTGGCTTCCCGTAGAACATCGAATCCAGTACAAGCTGCTTCTACAGACTTTTAAAGCTTTAAACGGAACATCACCACTATATATACAAGAACTGGTTCAGGTTTACACGCCTAGAAGATCTCTACGCTCAGAGAACTCCATGTTCCTTGTTCAGTCGCGTGCGCAGACTAAATCATATGGCGACAGGCGATTCGACGTGGCTAGTGCAACATTGTGGAACAGTCTTCCTCAAACTTTGAGATTGGAAAGAAATTTTATTCGTTTTAAAAAATTATTAAAAACTTATTTATTTACTACTGCATACCCAGATTATTCCTAAGAAGCTACTCTTATTTGTTTTAAATTTTTAAATTTAAATTATCTTATAACATGGGACATTACAGCAATTAACATGTATAAATATTTCTTATCTTTTTAAAAGTTTATTTATGTATATTCTTATAGCTTTAATTTGTAATCTTTTAAAAGTTTATTTATGTGTATTCTTACGGCTTTGACATGTATTTTTAGTCCTACAGTGCTTGTAATTTTTATGTTTTATGCTTATATTTTATGTACAGGGCTTTAGAGTAATTTTATATTATATTTAGCGCTTTATAAATTGTGTATAATAATAATAATAATAATTAAATATGCATGGATTATCTTCAGTTTTAAAAAGTAAAATAATTCTATAAATCATTTAAATTGAACCGCCGAAATATTTTATTTTTCTATATATTACATGATATTAGTAAAAATTGCAATTTTGTCGCCCTTACCCCCCCCCCCTCCCTCTACCCCTTTTTTCCACGTAAAACAACGTCGAGTGTTAAGAGAAAAATAAAGCATGGCGAGAAAATTATTTCATAATGTAAGAATTATTTATTTTTTTTAGAAACTAATACATTATTGTAATCGTTTGTTGGCGTTATGTAAACCCATTGCGACCTATAAAATACGAAGTTGGATAGAATAAATCCAAATTTTGTGTTTTGACATGCCCCCTTTTCACTGCAATAAAGGCTACCTCCAATTTTCTTTTCATTTTTTATAAGAAGAATGAAAATTGCATGATATATGTGAAAAACAAAGAATTTTATCATGTATTTTTTTTTAAATTTGTAAATTTCTTTGTTTATTGAATAGTTTTAGTATGTAATTGTGTATAAAAACACGAAAAATGGTCCATATCTTGACAGTGCCCCCATTTCACTACAATAAAGGCAAGGTAACAAAATTTCATTCTAATTTTTCTAAGCATAAAACATACAAGTATATTTCCAAGAATTAAATTTTTTTATCATTCCGTTTTCGTAATTTTCAACTAGATCGGGCCTCGTTAAGATTTCTTTGCTAACAAGGGGATTTCAAGAATTTAGAATTTTCCATTCAGTTGTACGAACGATAATATGAAATTATGTGTTGTTTTCTTTGTATAGGCCATGCATTCCCTGGAGACTCTGGCCAAGACAACAGGGAGATCAGTGACGGACATCATGGAACCTCACAAGGAGGTCCTACAGGACATGATACCGCCCAAAAAACATCTCCTGAGGCACCAGCCCGCCAACGCACAGATAGGACTCATGGTAAGTCATCACCCAACCCCACCTCCCATAAAACACCTCCTGAGGCACCAGCCCGCCAACGCACAGATAGGACTCATGGTAAGTCAACCACAGATAGGACTCATGGTAAGTCAGCCCCTCCATCATCCCAAAAAACACCTCCTGAGGCACCATCCAGCCAACGCACAGATAGGACTCATGGTAAGTCATCACACCCTGCCAACCCCCCCAACCCCCCCCCCCCCTCCCCCCACCCCCACCCCCAAACCCCACTTTCGTAGAATTTCAAACCAGGCTGCCATTGCACAGATAGGACTCATAGTAACACCCCCCCACCCCCACCCCCCCCCCCCCCCCAATAAAAAAAGAATAGAAGAAAAAGCCATCTTAGTCACCCAGCTTCTAATGCACAGATCTGACTTATGGTAAGATAACTGGCCTCATTTTTGTCACTTACAATGATACATAAGGCCAGCATTTTTTTATTTTTAGGTTTACGAACATCAAAATGAAAAAGTCCCGTAGGAGGAGGAAATAAAAAAAAAATAAAATTAATTCTTGGATAAATTATCGACTTTTGTACATTCATTTTTGCTTCTTTTTTTATGCTATCCTAAGAGATTCCTTGCCACTTGACACACAATGGTTACAAATAGGAAAAAGGAACCTTTAATAATTTATTTGCTTATTTCATCATCTGTCAGTTTGGGCTAGTGATATAAATTTTGTGAAGTTGATCAGAATAGATTTTAAAAAATCAATTCCTTAAAATTCTTTCAATATATCTTCATTTTTTTAAAAATATGTGTTAGGTAAATGTGTAGCCATTGTTCTAAAATATACCTGAGACCTAAAATTATAATTCCTTTCATAAAACAGCCAGGGAGTACTGGGAAGTATGGTGAATATTTTTTTCAATTAAGAGTAAAATAATGTTCTGGCTGCCACAAACGATACTACACATGTACACATGGTACATGCCTGTATATATTTGTGTATACTTGCTATTTAATGGTTGAATTTTTTAAAAATTTCTTCAGGGTATTGTTTATTTCTTCCTCAAAAAAAGACTTAATTAACTTCAATAGTTCTATTCATTACATCTGATGCATAAGCGACCATTTTTTAAAGAATGATTCTTACACTGTAAACTATAAAAGAGACCTAAACAATGTCGCTGGCAATAGCTACCATGGGCAGTTTTAAACCTGTGGTAGGAAAATAATTTACGGACAGATACTTTTGAATACGTATGCAGAATTATCTCACCAGCATGTCATTGTGCAACAAATTTGTCAGCATTTTATTTGTCCTCTGAACGGGTGAAATGTTCTGAATGGCACTCCTATCGATAAATTTTTAACAAATCCAAGCTATGGT